CCCCTTGGGAGGAAGTTCTAGACCCCCAGGAGATCTCCTCTCAGTCTCCTCTTCTCCAGGCTGAACAAACCAAGTGACTCCAGCCTCTCCTCACACCCTTCCCCTCTAAACCCTTCCCCAATTTGGTGGCCTCCTCTGGACACTAGATGAGATTTTTTTTCTGTTACAAAAGTGAATGCATTTTCATCAAGGAATGCAACCTAAGAATGAAATTTGTTTTCATCTTTTTCTACGTTAGAACACAGCATGTTCTTCTTCACTGTGAGGGTGGTGAGCCAGTGTCCCAGGTTGGCCAGAGAAGCTGTGGCTGCTCCTCCCTGGAAGTGTTGAAGGCCAGGCTGGATGAGGCTTTGAGCAACCTGGTCTAGTGGAAGGTGTCCCTGCTGCTGGCAGGGGGGTTGGGACTGGATGAACTTTAAGGTCCCTTCCAACCCAAACCAGTCTGGGATTCTATGTGGGCACACAAGCGTTTCCCAGTAACTGTTGTATTTTCCAGTGTTGCTGCCATTTCCTCTTTCCTTACACCTCCACAATGGAGGCTTCACAGGGCTCCACATCCTCGCAGGACTCTGCAGTGGCTCAGTTAACTGGGACGTGAACATTTTAGTTTAACAACTTCACATTTACTTTAACAGCAACTAAACCAGTACAGCCACCTATTTCTGAAGCCTGTGTGACCAGAACCACAAGACCAAACACCTGATGTCTTTGTCAGACAACATTGATTCAAATTCCAGAGAGATAATCTGTGGGTGTTCACAGCAGGGATAATGAAAACCCCCAGAAAGCTATTAAGAATATTCAAGTTCAAAAGCTAAATGACACAAAATAAATTAGAGGTATTCAGCGAGAACAGCAGAACATGTCAATACTCACGCCACAAGCCGGTTCAAAGGCCGGATTTACACAGTAAGAAATAATTTAATGAGTAAAAAATGAATAATGTTGGAATTCAAGATTTCAGATTCAGCTAAAAACATGAATGATTTAACTTTAATATTTTAGTTCGAAGTACTAATTGAAACTGTGTCTAGATTTGAAGGAAGTCTTCTGAAGCCACCTTAAGAGAAAATTTTAGGGTTTGTTTGGGGTTTTTTTTAAGAAATGAACATGTTTAACTGTAAATAAAACAGACAATACTGACAGAGCAGCTACAGTGACTGTCAAATATGGAATATGTAAGAACAACCAATATATGTTCAGGATATAGAAAATTAAGGAAGAAAAATTCATGCATACATGATTAGCCACAGACAGGAATATTCCAAGGACAATGAATTTCTCATCATGTTTAAATAACAAAGGAGTGAAACTATAATGTGATTTTTTTTTTCTTTCCTCATTTATTTCTTTTGAACATTAAAGATTTTCAAGAATCTGGTATTCATGGAGACCTGTCCAAGCTTATAAACTACCAGGACATACTGCCAGGGTAAGAGATTTCCCTTCTTTCTAAATTGTGCCTGCAGAAAGTCAGTCGTTAGCGTGAATGTTAATGAATAGATGTCCTCTGAGACAGCTCTGCACAGGACTGCAGTGCTCAGGAATTCACCTTTCACTGACTGTATTCGTGTTAGAAAAGAAGACTTCAGGCAAACATACGAAGGGTTGGACTCTGCAACTCATTTTAAGTTGCTATTCAGGGGGTGCCCGATCTAAAGTTCCCTGCAGCTGCAGAAGCACTCCTGCTGACTTCATTAACCTTTGGCAAGGTTAATTGACTACCTGCTACGTGTAATGTCAACAGAAGCAGCAGAACCTAACGGCATAGTAGGGTCAGACAGAACAAACTGATTTGTCCTTAACATATTTGACACAGAAAGACACTTACTTAAGTCTGAGATGTCAATCGTGGTCAGGTCCATTCTCCTGCTAATATGCAAGTCTCTCATACCATTAAAATTTAGGAGAGTGCTTGTATATATTAAATTCAGATCTAAAATTCAGATCTAGGTAGATTTCAAACCAAAAATGCAGTCTGATAAACTCAGTAGTACTAGGGAAAAAACAGCAACTCAATATAAAACTACATTAACTTTATGGACTGAAACTAGAAACTATGAGGTATGAAGGTCACAGCAGATGCAGAATATCATTTGATGGAGTTAGGTTCAAACCCCATCTCCAGCTCTTGAGAGGAACAAGGATCCTTTTACATTACCTCCACTGAAATCTCCTTTGGTGCCATGGGCCACTTGTGCTCATACTTGTCTTTCACAGTTTGGTCACTGTTGGCAGTTGGTGTTGAGTTCTCAGGCCGTACTCCATGGCTTGTTTTGCCCACCAGATTTTGAACTGATTTTACCATATTCTTTAAATCCTCCGGGTATGGAGTGGGATAACGTTTTAGATTTATTTCAACCTGAACATTCATAAAAAGAATTAAAGCACAAATAGAAAATGAAACCAGCATGCAAACTAGATCCATGGTTACAGTACTACAGCTAAGTGCAAATTCCTCAAATTTTTAATTAATCTGTTTGAGGTAAGGTGATACATATAGCTATTTTCACAGATTTTTGGACTGAAATTTGCTCTCAGTTACACTATGTTAACCTATAATGGAATTTCAGTGACATAAAATAATGGATGGGAATGGTTCCCTCCAAGCCTATCTTTTACCCTGTGAGAATATTGTATTTTAATTCTACACTTTGCAGGAGAGTACTGACATATTAAATCACACTTTTTCAAAACAATACTGGTGTAAATGCAGAACTAATTTAGCTATGTTCAGTGTGCTGAATTAATCTGAATTATCTACAGCAGCTGAGAACAGGATCTGATCCACTGGGAGCTATTTGCTCTTTGAGATGTGTAATGGATGTACGTGTGCTCAAGTCTATTTTTATTCTTTTCTTATATGGAAAATACAGGAAAACAGACACCAACCGCTCCAGAAAATTCATCCTAAGTCAATGGATGACTCATCCACACTCAATAGGACTTTGACAGACCTACAGACTTTCTAGAAAACTCCATGTTTTAGGTTTACAATTTTTATCACTCAGAAGTAGAGAAACAAATCCAAAGCAAACTTAATTTGAGTTAATTAATTCTACAAAATCTCAGGGTTGAGTGAAAGGTAAAGAGTGGCTGAGAAGGCTCGTGGATGACATCACACCTCGTCCACTGGCAAGACCTTACACGATCAGCAAATTGCTCTGAGGACATTGGGAATGATCCAAGCAGGAAAGATGACATACATGGTGCTGACCTCTCCTCATACCTCCCCCACTGTGTCAAAGATGTACGCTGTCTGTTGAACATCACACCACATCAGGAGAAGAGATGCTGAGGAAACCAGGGTGTGCATCCAAACAAAGAACAACCTTGGCAAGGCTGCTCAGGGCATGTGGGCAGCCTGGAGGTCTGTCCCTCCAGCCTGGCCTGCAGCAGACGCTTCCTTCTCAGCACAAGGCCCTCTCCTCCAGGGAGCATCTCCTGTCCTCCTCGCTCCATCCTTCACACTGCAAACCTGCCCTATCTCCACCACCTTCCTCCAAGCTGTGAAAGATTTGGTTGTGGCTTAAGCACCAAACCTGGGATTCACAAGGTGAACCATGGTGAGCACGTGTCCAAGTCCACGTAACCACCACCAAACGCAGCCAGAAGATGCTGGCTGTGCCTGCCACTCTCTTTGAACCTGAATTTGGGGTGAAAACGCAATAAAATCCTTCAATGGAGTAAAACTGCAGCTCCCAGTGCAAGCTGTGGATGTCAGGATAACTGTTCCCAGTCAGGAGGCTGTGAAATTTGAAATTGCTCCACATTTACCACGTGATAAGTATTTGGAAGGATTTACCACAAAGAAGCTTGTACCTCATTGTGTAGGTGAGGCGAGCAGAGGGAGCTTACCTGGAACAGCTCACTATTACAGCTGCTGGATCTGAAACTCCTAACAAGTAGGAAAAATGTAATTTTGGATTCAAGTGAACGTGCTCTGTCGATAGGAAGATTTTAGAAGCAAAAACATGATCGATTTGGAAAATAAAACTATATGAAATACGAGCACACAGTTCTGAACCACAAGAGAATAAACATTATGGATAATAGATTCTGACAGGACTCTAACATGTTAAAATGCATGAGTGTGATGTCATATGTTTTCAACAGAAAAAATAAGTCTGTAAAGCATTACTAAAGCTCTGGTTGATTTATGGTTGATAAAAATTGTATTTAGATGTGGCCTAATTAGGCAATTGCTTTTTCACTAAATTCAGACCATGACTGAAGCAGAAGGTCTACAGACAAACACAGCTAAAAGTCAAGTGGTAGAGCAAACCCTCAGCAAGTACCACTCAAGGAAAAATTAACTGAAAGGCTTTAATGAGAGAGACAAGTCGTGGATGGGGATTTCAGCAAGAGTTTTGTATCACTGGGAATATTAATATTAAACAGTGACAATACTGGCAGCTGTGGTGGGTGATGTCCACTAGAATGCTGATATTTTCATCACTGATTTAGACTTATCATAACAGAGGAAATCTGTACTCCCTGTCCTTCTTGTGTGCTTAATGCTACATCAAAAGTAGCCTGACCCTGAAAAGAGCATTTTCAAAGTTCAAAATTCTTGATGGAAGAAAGAAGCTATTGAACAATTTTGATTACCAAATCTATCTTAACATGGAGCTGGCTGAGAGTTCAGCTTTAATTACGAAAGATAAAGAGTAAAAACTACTTATGCTTTTATAAAATGCTTCCAATGTTTGTGGTTACTGCCTCTTGATAATTTAAGTCAACATATGAATGCATCCCATGAAATCTGGTGAAACTGCTAAAAATGTCCATGTTAAAACCTCCTTAAGACCTAGTGCAACACATGGATGGAGTGACACCACCAAGTTCTCCAAGGTCCCAGCAGTTGACTTTTAGTTCATGTGCCTGCATGGAAACACGGGCTGGTGAACACTTCAGATAACTCTTCACAACACTCTTACGGTCACTGATGTACAGAGATGAATTGGCACGACTGGGAAAGAGCACGGGCAGACCAGGAGGATGCAAATAAGCATTTCTATCTAATTAATTGGAATCTGGGCTCGCTTTTTCATAGCTTGGGCAAAAAGGCTGTTTTCCATGATATGAAAAAAACTCACAAACACCTTCAATGGAGATATTTTCCTTTCACAGCCTGGCAAGATGACCCAGATTTGAACAATATTCTTTCTCTACTTTCAGTTTTTACAAATGACAGGTATTTATGGGTATCTGGTGTGCACACAAGGAGAAATGTGAGAGAGGAGATGCTCTCTTCGAGGTACACAGATGGGTGGAAACACCTGATCAGCTCCTAACTCCCTGCTTAGTGTTTCATTTCATAATTCTTCTCTATACAAGCAACAACTACAGCATCAGCTGTAAAAATGAGTGTTTGGGTTGGATGAGAAGACGTTAAGATGGTTATGGAGGAGAGGAACATTGGATTTTATCTGGGAATAGAGGAGTCTCATGCAGAAAGAGACTCATGCTACAACCTTGGTTTACACCCACTCTCTGTGAGAGTGGAGGAGAGGGAGAACAGGTAAGTAAGAACTCCAGGAAATAGATTTTGGTGTTGGACCCTTCCACAATTAAGGAGCAGTGATACAAAGAGTAAAGACTCGCTCAACCTTTGGATGGCCAAGCCAGAATGTTTTGGAGAGGTGCAGCCCTGTGGCACATGGATGGGGACAGACTTTTTAGCAGGGCCTGTAGCGAAAGGACAAGTGGTGATGGTTTTAAACTGAAAGAGAGGAGATTGAGATGAGATGTAAGGAAGAAATTGTTTCCAGTGAGGGTGGTGAGACCCTGGCCCAGGTTGCCCAGAGAGGTGGTAGAAGTCCCATCCCTGGAAACATCCAAGATCAGGTTGGATGAGGCTTGGAGCAACCTGGTCTAGTGGAAGGTGTCCCTGCTGATGGCAGGGGGGTTGGGACTGGATGAGCTTCGAAGGTCCCTTCCAACCCAAACCAGTCTGTGATGTGATGACTCTGAGGATCACCCAGATGGTACACACCACTACTCTCGCTGGCAGTTGCCTGGCCCCAGGTTGCCCATCACATGTCCTGCTGCAACTGGGCCAAGCCAGTTGAGCAAATCAAACCTTGGGAACATCAGCTCTGCTCCACAGAGCATGACTTTGGCAGAGGCCGCCAGGGATGAGCAAAGCCCAGGTAAGAAGCCCTGGAGCCAGCGCATCCATTGCATCCTGGACAGCTCTGGTGCAGCGTGCTGGGTCCTGGGATGAACCACGCAGAGACATCTGCTCCCAGCAGCTATTTTGGTAAAGTGCTGTTTCTAGGAAAGCTGAAAACGTGGTGCTGTGCTCCCCATTTTCCATACAGCAGATGGCAACATTTGAAGGGAAGCAGAAGAACAGCATTCCCTGGATGAAGGATTTGCTTTTTCTACAAGAACAGTTTCCTCACAGGAAACGTTTCTTTCGGTCATTCATAGTGTTCTGAAATCTATTAAAACCAAAATGGCTGTCTAAGTGTATATTACATTTCTACCATATCCAAGTATATTACATTTCATTTCAATATTTAAAATAATGTTTGCAAAGAACATATAATACAATTAAATTCTTCCTTGACCTTAGAAATCGGTATCTATTTCTCTGTTAATATTCCAGTTGGTTTGCACCTTTAGACAACTATATTACCCACAGTTAAAATTCTGATAAGTATATAAAACTCTCCCAGATGCTTTGTTTTCCATATATGACTCATAAACCTGTGTTATTCTGAGGCAAAATTTCAGTTTAATCTACTTATTGTGAGGCAAAGGTTGCTTTTTGGCTTCATTTTCTGTTTTACTAAAGCAGCAGAGTCCATTATCTCTGATTACAAGAGTTAGATGCAAATTCCTAATTGAGAAAAATATTAAAAAGAAAAAAACAATTCCAAAAAGACCTAAATGGAATGTTAAATAGCCATTAATAATAGTATTGTTAATTTTAAAATTAAAATAGGATTTAAATATCCTCATATGTTTTTTGTCTCTGGCAATACATTTTATGTTGGGTCTCCTACTGCAGTTAAAGATTTGCAGTGTTTAAGTGTTTGATCTGGGTAATTCCTTTATATTATTCAAGAAATAGGAATTTTCATGCCACGTAACCGTAGATGGTCCTGCCAACATCCCTCTAACAATGTAACCAGTCAAGGGTTCAGTTGAAAACTCTGGAATTATATTAATTGCAGATAAATGGAGGAGGATATTCATATTTTGATCTATATTTTTGGTAGGTTACAAAATTGATGAGAGACACCTTCTCCACTGACATTCCTCTGGAACTCCATGAAGTTGCAACACTCTCATCAACTTCCACTTTGAGAGTAAAATGGAATAGATCCCCTATTTGATCTAAATATTTCTAAAGAACTGGGTGGTTGGATATAAATTCCAAGTCTCCTAACATTTAGTGTTAATTTTACCTTTGTGACAAAACACCTGTGACATCAGGAACCCGACATTAGGGTTATGGGCCTGAAATTACTTGGGAAATCTCACTTTTGCTGTCTAGACACCAATAGCAAGAGCAGAAATTGGTGACGTGTACTTCAGGGAGAACAGACACGTTCTTCTGTCTCAACTGCTGAACTTGAAACAGTGTGATGAGTATTTTCTGGGTATTTAGAATACAAAAATAGTCAGCTCAAGATCTATAAATCAGTCCCTATCCATAATATGTGAATATCAGAATAAATCAAACAGAACTTACCTTGACTTTCCCTGCATTTTCCTCCTCCTCTTTTTTTTCTTCAAATTCGAAGGCAACAGTCATACGTTGTTGTCTCTGCTCCTCCCACAAAGTGGGGTTAAAACTATCACTGTCTGACTGGAAATCTAGAGTTAAACGGGAACAGCAAAGCACAAGGACAAGTCATCAGTGCACCCAGCAGAAAACTGGAAACCAGAGTCACAGAATCCCAGAATGGCCTCAACTGGAAGAGCCCTTGAAGATCATCAAGTCCAACCATGAACCCAACACTGCCAAATGCCCGACTAACCCATGTCCCTCAGCACTGTGTCTACACGACTCTTCAATCCCTCCAGGGATGGGGACTCCACCACTGCCCTGGGCAACCCCTTCCAATGCCTCAGAACCCTTTCAGCAAAGAAATTCTTCCTCACATCCCATCTCAACTGCTCTGGCCACAACTGGAGCCCATTTCCTCTTGTCCTGTCCCTTGGGCCTTGGTTGAACAGACCCACCCCCACCTCTCTCCACCCTCCTCCAAGGGACTTGCACAGAGCCACAAGGACTTCCCTCAGCCTCCTTTTCTCCAGGCTCAACACCCCCAGTTCCCTCAGCCACAAGGGAACTCAGCACACTTGTGCTCCAGACCCTTCCCCAGCTCCGTTCCCTTCTCTGGACACGCTCCAGCACCTCCATGTCCTTCTTGGACTCAGGGGCCCAACACTGAACCCAGCACTCCAGCTGCGGCCTCACCAGTGCCCAGGGCAGGGGGAAGAGAACTTCCCTGCTCCTACTGGCCACACTGGTGCTGATCCAGGCCAGGATGCCCTTGGCCTTCTTGGCCACCTGGGCACTCTGCTGACTCATGTTCACCCAACACCCCCAGGTCCCTCTCTGAAGCCTGTCACGCTGCTGGGGGCTGATCCTGCAATCTTGGGATCAAGGCACCTCAGAAGGTGTCACTGAACCCCCATCCTCTCTGTTTTTTTCCCAACAAGCCCTGTTCCCACCTGGGGAACTGCTGATGGCATTTTACCTTCATCGCCACGGGGCTGCTGGGGAAACATGTAGTTAGTCAGAACTCGCTGCTTGGTTTCTGGGTGAGCCTCAGTCTGCAGTGGGATGAGAGCCTTGGACTGCACCAGAGAGGGACAACAAAGAACTGTTAACTCAGAGCACGTGTGTAAACCGAGGTGGGGATTTAGCATTTGCTAAAGAGAAAATACAAGATTAAAACTCTGTATGAAAATAAATTTCTCTATGGACTAAACCAGGTATTAACCTGGTGGAAATGGCTCCTCTCCTGGAGATTCCTCATTTCTGTAATTCCTAGAATTCCTACCAGGATCAACAGAAGAACATTAATTATCAGAAGTACTGACTGCATCTGCAGAGTCACAGCACCGAGGAAACTAAAGGACGAGCAGAACAGAGCTGTGGGGACACGGTTAAAACACCCACATCATGGCTGTGATCCGTGGTAAACCAGGAGTAAATTCATGAGAGTTACTAGTTCACCTGAGGGTAAACCTGGTGCAAGATACTGGAGAAATTACATGCAGTAATATGTAAAAAAATGTGCATATTCAGTAAAAACCCCTCTGAATATGCAGATGTTGCTGTTGTGGTTTACTTCAATTGATTATTTTTATTTATTGCTTTGCTCTGATGTATTTTATGGGAGTGACTGTCATCATTAATAGAATAGAAATTAATCTCTGTTATACCATAGAAAAGTCAAAATGCTGAAAAAATATTGTCATTTAAAAGGAAGTGTATGTTCTGTGGCTGGGCTGAGGAGTCATGAATTTTTTTTTTTTTTTAATGGAAATTAGAGCAAAAAAAATGAGAATCCTAATTAAATACATTAAAATTCCCTCATAATTTTCTATTATCCCTCCCCTCCCTTCAGCTTCAACATTTTTTGCTTAGCTATAAAAGTAAAAATTTTTTGGTGGGTTTTGTGGGTTTTTTTTCTGTGATTTGAGGGTCTGCCTGAATGGTGCACACTGGCAGGAGTCAGCAGGA